GAGTTATTGGTGCATCTTGTAGCTAGTGAAAGAGTTGGAAGGAAGAAGAATCAAGGGAGAAGAAGCAGAGACAAGACCAACATCAATTTCTCTTCACTTTATGGTTATAAAGCTTCCCTCTTGACCTGTGATTTCCTATATCTTCTTATGGTTATCTTGGGCTAAGACGCTTGACTCTTGGGATTTGGACGTCCCATTTCGATTCACCATCAGATCTAGGACCTTGAAGGGTCCTCATGGCATAAAGGTGCCATCTTTAGGGCCATGAGAACCCCATGCATGCTGAAATCCCCATTTTTGGCCTTTTAAGCACCAATGATACATTCATGCGCGTAAAGTTCATAAGTTTACATGTTAGATCAACTTTAGAAGCCTAGATCAACTTTATGGATCTCATGAATCGCGTTTTTAAACCATACTTGGATAAATTTGTGATCGTATTTATCGATGATATATTGATATATTCACGAACCAAGGAAGAACATGGTTAATACCTACAATTAATCTTGGAGCTACTAAGAAAAGAAAAGTTGTACGCTAAATTCTCCAAATGCGAGTTTTGGATTAGAGAAGTACAATTTTCAGGTCATGTAGTTAGCAATAAAGGAATTCATGTTGACCCATCCAAAGTCGAGGCAATTAGGAATTGGAACACACCAAAAGACACCAACAGAAGTGTGTCAATTCCGAGGACTTGCTGGCTATTACCGCATATTCATAGAGAATTTCTCCAAAATAGCCACACCGCTTACAACACTAACTCAGAAGGATACGAAGTTCAACTGGGAAGACAAACAAGATGCCGTTTTTTAGAAACTAAAGCGAATGTTGTGTTGTACACCAATCCTATCCCTTCCAGAGGGGACAGAAGATTTCGTTGTATATTGTGACGCATCAAATCAAGGATTGGGATGTGTGTTGATGCAAAGAGGAAAAGTTATCGCCTATGCATCACAACAACTTAAGGTGCATGAGAATAATTACACTACCCATGATCTTGAATTGGGAGCTGTAGTTTTTGCACTAAAAATCTGGAGACATTACCTATACGGTAGTAAGTGTACTATTTTTACCGACCGCAAGAGTCTCCAGCACATCTTCGACCAAAAAGATCTTAATATGAGACAACGAAGATGGGTCAAATTGTTGAATGATTACGAATGTGAGATTCGTTATCATCTTGGAACGGAAAACGTGGTAGCAGATGCTTTGAGCCGGAAAGAATATAATAAACCCCAACGGGTATGAGCATTAACTATAACTATCTATTCTAACTTTACCGGACAAATTAGAGAAGCTCAACTTGAGGCTCTAAAAGAAGAAAACATCAGGAACGAAGCTTTGCGAGGAATGGAAAAAAAACTTATACAAAAAGATGACGGAACGCGACACTTTATGAACCGAATTTGGACGCCTAAGTTCGGTGGAATCAGGGATTTAGTCTTAGAAGAAGCCCACAAGTCCAGATATTCCGTGCATCCATGCTCTGACAAAATGTAATTGGATTTAAAAGTACATTATTGGTGGCCAAACATGAAGGCAGCAATTGCTACTTATGTGAGCAAATGTTTGACGTGTTCTAGAGTAAAGGCAGAACATCAAAAGCCTTCAGGTTTACTTCAACAACCGGAAATACCATAATGGAAATGGGAGCAGATTTCAATGGAATTCATCACTAAGTTACCCAAAACTCCTAGTAGGTTCAACACATTTGGGTAATAGTTTATAGATTAACTAAGTACGCCCATTTCTTACCAATTAAGGAGAACGACAAGATGGAGAAGCTGACTAGAGTTTATATTAAGGAAATTGTTAGATTGTATGGAGTTCCAAGTTCTATTATTTTTGACCGAGATAGTAGATTCACTTCACGATTTTGGCAATCTCTAGAAAAATCCTTAGGAACACGTCTAGATATGAGTACATCTTACCATCCACAGACTGATGGTCAGAGTGAGAGAACCATTCAGACTTTAGAAGATATGCTTCGAGCCTATGTAATAGACTTTAGAAATGCGGGGGATACTCATTTACCGTTAATTGAGTTTTCCTACAACAATAGTCATCACACCAGCATCAAGGTTGCACCGTTTGAGGCTCTTTATGGACGAAAATGTCGTTCCCTAGTATGTTGGGCAGAAGTTGGAGATACGCAGATGGCCAGAGAACATATAGGTGATACCTTACGTACTGGACCAGAAATAATCCATGAGACAACTGAAAAGATCGTGCAAATTAAGGATCGATTAAAGGCTGCACGTGATCGTCAAAAGAGCTATGCTGACGTCACTACTAGAAAACAGACCTTTAATGACACGCTTTTTACGACACGCAATGATTAATGATACGCAAAAGAGCGTGCCCTAAAAAGAATGTCATATCTTTAGAAATTTGAAGAATTTAAGACGCGCATTTTTACGTGCCCTAAAATTAGTGCCCGAAAAAAAGAAAATTAAAAACACGGAAGGCACCTAAATTAAATGGGCGTCGTATAGAAATGTCGTTTTATAATTTTTAATACGCGCGTCCCTCCTCTTTGATATAGGTAAGGGGGAAAACCAAATTTCCCAAAATTTTGAAGTACCCTCCTTCCTCTACTTCTCTGCTCTCCCCTCTAGGTCATGATTCACCTTGTGAACTAAGGCATGCCTAAGATTCCGCCTCTTTATCTCCATCGTCTTCGGCTTTGATTTCTTCTTAAAAACAGCAACAATGAATCTACCACGAGGCGTCACAAAAGCAACTGGAGGCATCGATACAGTTAGAGCACCAAGAGAAGGAGTTCTAAAAGAGAGAAAGAGAAGAGGAGAGAGAGTTGGAAGATAAAGAAAAGAGATAAAGTGACAAATATAGAAGGAAAGGGAGCAGTAGGTGAAGATGAAATCAAGAAGGCAAAAGGAGGGGTTCAGATTAGACACAAATTCACTTTTTGATTTCAATTTCATATACATCTCTCTAAATCGTTTGTGGAGCCAATCACACATCTGGTTCAAGATCAATTTCTCCATTGCCCTCTCTCTCTCTCTCTCTCTCTCTCTCTCTCTCTCAAAACATCAAACAATTTATCAATTTCTCCTAGGTTTCCATCTTTCATCTTGTTTCACTAAATAGACGATTGGCCGAAGAACTAGGGCTTTTGAAGAATCAGAAATCACCAACAACGATAGGTACCCATCACAATTTGTGTTTTCTCTCGAACTCCACCGTTCCAACATCGCACCACAACACCAGCCTTGAGCCACCACCACACTGCCTTCGCAACATCCCAAAACCACCACTACACCACCACAGGTCTTTCTACAAACCCTAAAAAGTCGGAATCAGTTCTCGCTTTACAGATATAAGAGCTTTGGTTGTTGTGGATATTGTCGATGTTTCCTCTTCTACTATCAACTCTCTCATCTCCAACCAACCTCAACCTAAACATGCCTCCCACCTCTGATCAGGTTTCGTTTCCTCATTATATTGTTTCCATAAGAGCATTCACCTTTTGTCTTAAGTTTTTTTTACACAAAGTATGTTAATTGGTACCTGGTTTTTGACTACTTTTAGGTTTTAGTACATGAAATTCAATATTTCGGGTTTAATTTCCCCATTTTTCTGTTTTAGAGGAATATTCACTATATTTTTATTGTGCTTTAAGCTTTTTTTAACTAGATTTATCGTATTTCACTGGATTTCATGAGCTTTCATAGGATTACATGTGTGTACATTTATCTATTTAACTGTGTGTATCTATGTGTATTGATTTGTTAATAATGGCTATAAAAAGATGTTTCTGAACAAACAGACAGCTTTAATTAATATTTCTATAGCCTTTTCAACTGGATAGTGATAGATATTTCTTTGATGGTGGATTTGATTTTAGTAATCTTACTTTAAAATTCATTGTGTAGATTAGACTAGGTAGGAGTTGTGCATATTGTTAAGGGTTGGAAGAGCTAATCGAGGGGAAGAATAGATGAGCTATCAATTTGAAAGTGCATGTAAATAGTCACATAACAATGATCTGAAGTATTAGAAACACTTACTGAGGGGTGGATCTTGTGCTCTTTCAAAATAATAACATTATTGCCTTGACAATACAGATCTTCCAGCAGCAGAGATCAACCAATATAAACTTGTATTTTCCCCCGTTTGGCTCTCATTCCTAGTTGTTGCAGCAACAGCAGGAAAATCAAAGGTAACAGATTACATTTTTGTGGTACTTGATTTTGAAAAAAAAAAAAAAAATCTGCTGCTATACTCGATCTAACACCTAAATAACCTGAAGGAAAAAAAGAAAAAAAAAACAGTATTTGGTTATACCGCTTAGTTTCATCGAAAAACAATATTTTTTTGTATGATTTGTTAAAAATGATATGAACATTGTGAAATTTTGTTAAAAATGATATGAACATTATGAAATTTTGTTTTTTGAAACGTAAGGGTAAAAGGTAATTTAGTCTCGTTCAAAAAAGAAGGTGTCTCGTGTATTATGCTTGTACCCTCTGGTTATCTATATTCAAACTGTGAATCATCCTTGACCTTTCTTTCTTTTTGTGAAAACTAGTATAGGTGGCTTTCCTCAAGATCAGGTAGCTCTACAAAGTCACCATTTGAAGAAAAATTTATCTCACAACCACCTCAAGCTCCAACTGGATGGCCAAATTTTCTGTGTGTATGTTCTGTTTTCTCATATGGATTAATTCAGCTCCACTGGTCTGAATGGCCACTGAATCAAAGTGGCACATCTGAATGATATTGCACAAGCAAAGGCCTTTTGGGAGTTGGGCCTAGTGGGATTTTGACAGCTCATGCAATCGTGACAGATTCAGGAGCTTTACATGTGGCAGGAGTCCCAATTGTGAACCCATCTAGTGTTGTTGTTCGGGAGGTGAACCCAATTGTGAACCCATCAATACAATGTTGCTTTTTTTTTTTTAATGTGGAATTGAATATGGTTTATCTGAAGTTAAACTAAAATTGCTAAAAACCTGGTAAAAGGCATATTGGTTCTAATGTTGATTTTATGGACATCAATTGGTTGTGCCGGATTACAGGTGCATAAAGATGCAACAAAAGAAAACAGTAGGTGAACGCTTAATGACTTTGACATTGGGAGGCCACTGGGGAGAGGAAAGTTTGGTCATATCTACATAGCTAAGAAGAAGATCTGGAGTTATCTGGTGGAAGTGAAAGATATTAATGACTTTTTATTGAGGTTTGACCAATTTCAGTCTGCATGTTCGGCGTTGACCAAGTCATGGCTTGATGTTCAAGTTGATTTGGAGTTATCTGGTGAAAGTGAAAGAAGTGAAGATATTAATTCTGAATCACTTCTTGGACCTGAAAATTGGCCACTTCAAGTATTAAACCAACAACCACGTGGCCTTTTTGCCCTTATTCAAAAGCTTCATTCAAGGTAAAAGTATAAATCTGGGATTTATATTTTTAGTTCAACAAAGATTTTTGGTACTTATTTTTCTTTTGTATGATTTAGTGAGTCTGTACATAAAGCTGTAACTCGAGGGTGTAAGGAGCAACATTGCCACATTGAGGTTATCACTTTTTTCTTTTGCTTTTTACATTTTTTTATTTGAATAGAAATAAGTCAAGTAACATGATTTTTTTTTATTAATTTTGTAAACATATGAGTTTAATGTTAGGGGATATTCCTCGTTTACTTGACCTTATATGGTCATGGATGTCTCCATCAGGAGGCGATGAAGATATTTTCAGGTAAACAAATCATCACTCTTCCATTTCATTTTTTTTTTAAAGTTTTTTCATTTTTAGATTTTCTTGAAATTGTTTTTTCTTTTTGGAAGGCCACATGGCGACCCACAGATGATCCGTTTTGGGGCACGTTTAGTTCTTGTGCTTCGTCATTTACTTGCTGATGAAATGAAAGATGCTTTCAAGGAGAAGAGAATGACTCTTGGTGATCTTATTCTTCGTCATTTAATTTATTTCTTTTAACTTGTTTGAACTTAATAGGGGAAAATATGTAATTTTCAGGTATGCTATGTTTCTTTTTTCAAAACAACATGAAGAGTTGGTAGGATTCTATGCATCTCAGCTTGCACGTCATCGTTTCATTGACCATTTTTGTCCATATGATGGTGTTATGCTTGAATGGCAGGTGAATATATATATATATATATATATATATATATATATATATATATATATATATATATATATATATATATATATATATATATATATATATAAACAAAATATTTACATATGTAAACATTTTTTTTTTTTTTTTTTTTTTTAAAGTTTAGCAGTGTTCATGTCCGATACAAAATCTTTCTTTTTGCTGTAGAGCTCCCGTTTCCCTTGGAGATGACTCAAATGGCAGTTTTGAAAAAGGAAAGAGTATGCAAGGAGGATCCAGTGTCATTAGAGACTGGTACTGCTATTAGAACAAAGTTACCGCAACATGGTGGAGCTAATGATCCTGCACAGTTACTTAATGATCTTGTTGGTGATGGGATTACAAGGAGCTACCAAAATCATGGACATAGAGGAGGTATAGTTCCAAAAATGTCATAACATGTAACGAATTGAACTTGAGAAGATGAAAAAAAATCATGATTTTGCCCTCCTGTGCTGTTTTGCCAGAGAAGGAAATTAAGAAGTCTGGTGTGAACAATGAGCAATTCTATGTTGTTGATCATATTTGTGTTTTATGAAATAGAGCAGCCATATTGTTGCATTAAAGGTGTTTTTCAAAGCCAACTCAAACAGTCCTAGGTGGAGCACCAACTTTGCGGTGAAGTTGAAATACAAAGTCACCTTAGGCATCCTAATATCCTTCGACTATATGGTTATTTTTATGATAAGGTACACAATCTTTCTATCATATTCTTATTCAAAAGATCTATCAAAAATTTATAGATCATATACAGCAACTCCCAAAGAAGAGAGTCTACCTGAGCAAAAAATTATAGATCATACCAACCTATATGGAACACCTCTTATCAGAAGCCCTTGTTTCATTACTCAAAGTTTGACAATCGCTGTTAGTGCCATTTATTTTGTGATTCTTGTTTCAACAGGTGTGTTATGGCACAAACAATCAAACTAATTTGGTCAGTTTCACAAGGTCACTAATTAACATGCATGCATCCAATTTGTTTTGTTAGGACAAGTAATAAATATAATGTTCTTGTAGTGGGAATACTATTACTGCCGAGCTACATGGTGAAGTTGGGTGGCCAGGTCAGCACTTGATGTTTTATTTTAGAAAAAAAAATGTTTATGCATATATACATACATACATACATACATACATACATAAATACATACAATAAAAATGTCAAAACAAAGCTAGAAGCTTATTCTTTAAAATTACATATGCTGATAAATATGTCACCTAATGATGTTTCCATGGTGCAACTCGAATTATTTCCATTGATCCAAGAAATTATTACTGAGTGGCATATAATACATTTCTTCTCAACCACACCATCTAGATCATCTTCCATTGAAGATTTAAGTTCTTAACTCTCCTTATTTAAATTTGGTAACCATATTTTATAATCTCTTTAGTCTTCATCTAATCATATTTGTAGTCTGTGTTTTTTAGTTTTCACATTTCATGTGCTCCGTCAGATAACAACATTGATAGAAGATTATGGAATGACAAGATTGGAAAATGTGACTTTACATTGGCTTTTATTCTGTTGCTTGATCATCAAAGTTTTTTCAAACATCAAAACCGTGTTGATTGAAAACACCTTCCAAATCCCGCCTCTTTCATTTGTATATTTGTTTTTTTTGAAGCATCTTCTTACTATGGTGAACCAAAATATACTCAAGGAGAAAACATCTAGTGGTATGCAGGGTGTAAACAACGAATGGTGCACACTTCTTCACCTTCTTAGCTGTTGTCTTCTTTCACAAGCACATCTTCAATCATCATGGGGTTCTACTAAAAAGAAAGTTAATGAAGCCATTTATTGCTTTTTTTAGGTATGTGTTATGTGACATATCATCCACTAATGTATCATTTATCATTCAACATCTTTTAGTTTGATGGGTATAGATATAGAAGGGTAAAATGGTCATTTACTTGCATTCAAACAGTTCATTCATTTAGTCAAAAAAAGGGACAAATATATAGGTGTTTTTCTTATTGACCTAACACATACAAAGGGGTAGAATGGTCATTTACTTGCATTCAGATAGTTCATTAGGGGTGATGCTTTTTGACATAGTACATACAAAGGGGTAAGATAGTCATTTGATTTACGCACATTCATACAGTTCATTTTGCCTAAGAAAGGGACGTAGGGGTGTTTCTTTTTGACTTCATATGAACATAAGGGTAATAGGGTCATTTACTCACATTCACATAGTTCATCTAGTCAACAAAATAGACAAATACGTAGTGGTGTTTTCTTTTTGACTTAATGAACTTATTAATATGGCTATTATTATTATTTATTGCTATATGTTAATGTTATTTTTTTATTAATATATAGGTTAATTCGTTTGGAATCTAACATAACTGGAAGAAGGTCGTGGATACTTTCATTTGGATTTGGTTATACAAATAGTTTATATAGTTAGGGAAAACCTCTTAATAGCAATGTATAATTAGGTCCCCTTAATACCAATGTATTACAATGTATTGTATTTTTGTATGACATTAACTTTTGTGCAATGTATTATATTTTTTGTATATGGTATTTTAATTTCTATTATGAGACATGAAACACAAATTTAATTTGAAAATTAGTAAATCTATAAATAATATTTTTTTTAACATTTAAAATTATGATACGCAAAAATGTGTGTCATCTTCATTTATGACATGGCCTTTCTTGACATGGGCTTTCTTGATACGCATTGCGTGTCATTAACACATGCGCCGTAAGGATACGACACGTGAATGTGTGTCGTCTTCCTTTGTGACAGGGCCTTCCGTGATAGGCAATGCGTGTCGTAAACGCGCGTCGTAAATGAGTGACATAAATGCGCGTCGTCTATAGAGGATGTGCAAAAGCGCGTCATCTCTGTTTATGACAGGGCCTTCCTTGATGCGCATTTGCGCGTCGTCTGAGCCTTTTACGACGCGCAAGGAGCGTTGTAAAAGGCTATTTTTCTAGTAGTGCGTAAGACGTAAGCCTTTAGAATTCCAAGTTGGAGATAAAGTAATGTTGAAGGTGTCTCCTTGGAAAGGTGTAATTCGATTCGGTAAGTGAGGCAAACTAAACCCACGCTATATAGGAACTTTTGAAATTCTAGCTAGAATTGGTTCTGTTGCATACCAACTCAAGTTGCTTCAAGAGATAAGTAATATACACGATGTTTTTCACGTATCAAATCTCAAAATATGTCTATCCGATGACACTCTTATTGTACCTCTTGACGAGATACAAGTCAATACCAAACTCAACTTTGTAGAAGAACCTATTGAGATCATGGATCGAGAAGTCAAATGATTAAAGCAAAGTCGTATTCCCTTAGTGAAAGTTCGATGGAACTCTTTGCACTGAATTTACTTGGGAACGTTAAGATCAAATGAAAGAAAAATACCTCCAACTGTTTGACAAAACCCTATCCACAAGATAAATTTCGGGATGAAATTGTTCTAACAGGGGGAGAATGTAACACTAGTCAAAATAGGTCAATAGACAATCACATGTGATCATGCCAATCATGTAATGTGATTATGTTAACCTAGTAATGTGGTAAGAATGTTACATAGTTCATGATAAATTTTAATACAAATATGAACTTTCTTTATGATACAACTCAAAGTATACGTCCATATGACTCCAAAAATATAGAGAAAGTCATAATCTGATTTCGTATGAAGAAGTTATGATAACCGAACACTATAAATCTCTATAATAAGAGAAATTTAAAATAGACTTAGAATTAGCTATTTAAGTCTAAAAGAGAGTTATAGTACTCGTAAATACCTACGCGTGCATATATAAAGAACGTCAAAAACGGAGTTCGTAAGCAAAAGTTGTGGCCTTCCAAAGATTTAGTTTTTAAAAACCCTAAACTAGCTAATTCACGATGTGAGTTTTATGACACTCACGATGTGAGGAGTCATTCTGTCATAATTTGGAATCTAGAAGCTGGGAGAGGATAGGATCCAAATTCACAATGTGAGCTTTATGACATTCACGACGCGAGGAGTCATGGCCAACTTCCGAAGCTAGGGACGCAAATGGCAAGTCTACAAAGTGAATCAGGCAAGACTCACGACGTGAGCCTTATGACACTCACGACGTGAGTGTCATAAAATCTTACTATAAATAGCAAGATCGACCCCAACCATTCTTACACCTGATCTCCTTTCTCCTCTCTCATTTGCTGAAGCCCTCTTCCATCCCGAGTCCCGACGATCTCGCACGTTGACCGTTTTGCTTAGATATCATAAAATCACGCTACTAAGGTGAGTTTCACGGCCCCACTTTCTAATATTTCGGGGGAAAATGCATGCTAGTCATTGTATATATGTTATTATTATGTCTATATGATAGTATATAGTTATGATAATCGAGATATGATTGTTCTAAATATAACATTTTGAATACATACAACTATTATTAACTTATCCGTATGTTAATTTACTAATGTAGATCTTGAGTTATACTTAGGATTCTATATATATGTTGTGTGCGATATAATACCGAAGTAATATTCAAAAGTTCTAAATGTTAAGTTATATAGTATGTTGCTATTAATAGTTTTATGTCAAGATAAAACTGGATATGTTATATGTTGTTATTGTTAGTTTTATGCCAAGATAAAAGTTGGTATTGGTATTGATAGTTTTATCTCAAGATAAAACTAGAAACATTATATGTTGTTATTATTGGTTTTATGTCAAGATAAGACCTGGTATTTACATCAAGATACAGCTGTTATACTGTCTAAATATTATGAAGTTAGGAGTAATGTTTAAAAGCAAAGTCTAGTAACTTAAGGTTTTAGACATGGAAATGCTTTTGTTTTTAGAGCTATAGGAAGCTGTCAAAGTCTACATGAGTAATTGTATTCATCAACTAAGATTGGGGATCTTAGTGGAAATCCTCTGAACTATAACCGTTAATCCTGTGTGAGCAAGGAAGTCGTGTATAGTTAATATACGGGCTGACCACTCAACTTGTGACTGTTAGCTATAGTCAACCAAAAACAAGTGATGAACTATCCTTTTATTTGTTATTATTCCGGCGTCGATGAAGCGTACGGTGTTGTTTCTCATGTTAAATCATGTGTGTAATTGTTCTCATGTTAAATCATGAGTGTATTGTTTTATCAGAGGTATTATGTCATAGCAGCGGTTACATGCTCATGGTAGCACATTGTTAGAAACATTATACCTTGTCGTATACAAGTATTAATGGTAAGTAAAACTTTTCCCCTACTTATACCTTAAGATTAAGAAATGTTTAGGTATAACACTTAATTGATAAGTATACAATTATACCTAATGTTGGAGAGTCAAAATGATACTTTCAAAACTATACTTTTGAATGTATAAAAATGTATTATTTTATGGGGTCAAAACCAGTGGACTCACCAACTTTATGTTGACGTATTTTAAAATGCATGTGTTTTCAGGAACATGAAAAGCTGTTATGTATTCGAGCAGAAGAAGTTTTACTACTATCTTTCTATTCGTTAAAAAGTATGTCATAGTCAGATATTATGTAATAAATATTAG